CTTTCCCCAGCCACTAGCTAGCCTTACAGTGTTGGTGCTGCTGTTGTCAGGAGGGATGGTGCACACAGTCTGTGTACACACAGAGGTAGAACCTGGCCCCTGATCGCCGCCGTGAAGGTCTCCACTTGTATCTAGCAGGGAAGCAGGTCCCAGCAATTGTGCCATCTCTGCCTGGTACAGCGATGCCTTCAGTGCCCAAACCTGAGTCTTCTCTTGCAGCATGTGATACAAAGGGTCAGAAAGGAGATGGGGTAACCCTGAAACCTACTCCTCAGCTTCTTGGTCTCCAGCATATGTTCTCTGCACTGGGCAAATGACCATGGGCTTTCCCTGGAGAAGAAGGGGTGGGAAATAAGTCTGTTTTGCTCCAAGTAGAGACCATGGCTGTGAGCAGATGGCTGTGTATCCTGGGTGCTGCTGGTGGAAAGCTGTCCCTGTGTTCATCCCCAGGAACAGGCTTGGAGGGTGGCAGTGGCCCTGCACATAGCTCAGCCCGAGGGCTGCCTGCTCTGGTATCCTGCTCTCCGGGCTCCAGGCACACGGAGTGGGGCCACTCTGGTGCTGTGGCTGCTGTCCCTGGTGTTGCAGTGACAGCAGGGCAGGAGGCATGGCTGCCATCCCCAGTGCTGGCCCGCGGCGGTGGGCACGGTGGCATGGTGGTCAGGGCACAGACGTGGACACCTTCATAGTAGGGTTTGCTGTGGGAGGGCAGAAACCCTTCCCATGGAGTGGAAGGTGCAGGCTGAAACATTTCCATCCAGTAACTGGCCAGTGCCAGCATGGGGGGGGATCAAGCCACTGCATGAGGTGCCACAGCTCAGCCTGTCCCCAGCAGCAGTGCCTGACCCCCACGGAGGCTGATGGGATCACTGTGCAGCAGGAAAAAAAAAACAAAAAAACACAAGCTTTTCTGATCTCAGACTTACTGCTCAGGAACTGCCAAACAGTGTTGGCATCTCATTGTCATCTGTGCCCTAAAGCCTAAGCAGAGCGAGCTGCTGGTCCAGTCTGGGGTTACTGCTTGAACCAGTTGCTGTGACCCCCAGCATCTTCAAGAGGAGAGGAGCAAAGCACACAGGTGGCTGGTCTCTGCTGAGCCCCACATGGCTGCCCTTGTCCCAGGAGCGCTCCCACTGCCTGGCCTGCTCTGGTGGGACAGGAGCCCTCTGTCCCATTCATGTGTACACTACTGTGGCATCTGGCCTCAGGTCCTGGGGTTGACGGTCCCTGAGCATAGCAAACTGTCTGGCTGTTTGATTGACATTGTGGGGGGTGGGGGGTGGGGGGGAAGCGATGGTTTCCTGCTATACGGTGTGAATCTGCCATTTACGGTGGCTGTGCCCAGGTAAGTGTGCATCCAGGCAGAGGCTGTCTGGGGCACCGGGTTCCTCAGAGGCTTCGTGGCTGCCTCTGCAGCGCTGGGTTTATGCTGCCTGTCTGTGTGCCTTGCAGGCTCTGAAAAGGAAGCCGGACCTCTTCCTGTGTAGCAACCTGGATGTCAAAGCAGTGTTTCAGTGTGGTGAGTACCACGGGCGCGTGCTCCAAATTGCTTCGCGAAGCCAGCTTGCTCCTCCTGTGGAGCTGGGCACAGACCAGCCAGGAGGTGGGGACCGCAGGGCTGATTTGGGATGGTGTGTGGGGTTTCTGGCTGCTAACCTGAGTGATTTCTGCCTGTAGGTGTCCTTTCACTCAAGTTCCCCGAGGCCCCAACGGTCAAAGCATCCTGTGGCTTTTTTGTGAGTATCATGGCATCATGCAGCCCCCTGAGAGTTGGGAGGGCAGGAGTGGGGCCGCAGATTGGGCAAGGGCACTGCAGTGTGGACCCTGCTCTGGCACTGAGTGGGCTGGGCTCTGTGTTGCAGACGGAGCTGCTGCCCCGCTGCGGAGAGATTGCCCCGGTGGGACAGGTCGTGCATGAGAATGGCAAAGTGCTGCTGCAGGCAGTGCTGGAGGTGAGAAACGCCGGGACTGTGGGCTCCCCAGGCAGCTTTGGGCTCTATTCCTGCGCAGCACCTCTGCAGAGCCATGGGCGGAGAGCCTGGCAGCATGGGTGGGTGCAGGCAGAGTGATGCCGGAGGCTCAGCAGGGTCTGTCTGCTCTGTGGCAGGGTGTCGGTGGCCAGGCTTCCCGCAGCCTCATGGATCACTTCGCAGAAATCCTCTTTGCCTTGAACAAGCACTGCTTCAGCTACCTGAGCATCTGGATCAAGGAGGCCATGCAGCAAGACGGCTTCCCCTCAGCTCGCGTCAGCCCAGAGCAGAAGGAGACCTTCAGCCAGCAGATCCTCAGGTTTGTGAGCCCCTTGCTGCGGTGGCTGTGCCCCACGTGTGGTGGGAATGAATTCCCGCCCTCTCCCCGTATGGCCTGGTGTGTCCCTCCTGCTTCATGTTTGTCCCCTCCCTCTGTCTTAGCAGAGAGCGTGTGAACAAGCGGCGAGTGAAGGAGATGGTGAAGGAGTTCACCCTGCTGTGCCGAGGGCTGCATGGCACGGAGTACACAGCAGACTACTGAGCGCCTGGCCAGGACCGCGGACAATTTGCCCGGACCAGCTCTTCCCTGCAAGGAAGCCCCCCCATCCTCCCTGCCCTGCTGCAGTACGGCTCATAGAATAACCCTCCACCTAGAATTAACCCACTCAGGACGCTCCTCAGCTAGATTTGGTGGCCGCATCTCAGTGTCAGCATCTTTGTTTCCCCCAGCATGCTCCCCCCTCGCAGGGGACAGGAGTGCCGGCTGCAGGAGGCAGCGGCGGGGGG